TGCCAAGCAAAGGTTCCTTGTTATAAACACGGGACTTCCCAGCCCACTTCCCCAGACTCCAGCCCTGGAACCTGCCCAGAATTCATGGAGGCCTTCCTAAGAAGTCGCATCCCTGCACTTGATGCAGGAGGTTTCCAGCTGTGCAATCTTCGTTCTGTGAGCGTTCATACACTTCCTCTCAGCACAAGACCAGGCCAAGCACAAGAAGAAGCCTGTGAACCAGAGAGGGATGCATTTCACCACACTTAGTCCCAACTCTAGTTGAGACATTTAGATGCGTTTCAGTGGCTTAAAAATAACGTTGAAATGTAACATGCCATGCTTTTCTGAAGTTGAAGCAACAAAGCATGCCTTCGAGCTAAGCGGGGCTGATTGCCAGGATACCTAAACTGCTCTTTTAATTAAGTCTGGTTATGAAATCATGTGAGCAGTGGTACTTGGCCAATACAATATCTGCTGATTATAACCGCCTGTACCAAGCAGAATTAAATTGCATGAGAACTAAATGTTCCTTCAACCTATCGTTTCTTTCTGGGAAAAGGAGCAACACACACACACACACACACACACACACACACACAGAGCATGCACATTGAAATCTAAGAAAAGAAGCAGTCGAGCACAGTCTGAACCCATCAGATGGAGGCTGTTGAAATAAACATCGGAAGTTTATTGCTCGAGTCGCACGGAGATATTTGCCTCCCTTTGTCATTGGTGTTCATTTCTTGCTGGCCGTGCTAACTTCAGGCAAATGCACCCGCTAATTCTAGAGAAACAAACTGGCTTTGTTTGGATTGGTTTGATGCATGAGAGGTGGGCGGTTCATATCTCTGCTGTCCTTTGGCCCTAGTAATCTCTCCTGGCTTCAGACTGAATTGACTGCAGAGGCTGTGCGGGTTAGGGAAGTCTTCACCTAGTGGCTGAAGATGTTACTGAAAGTTTCCATTACATAGGTCTGTTAAAATAAATGGGTATAGATTCATTGGATTATAGAATCGTGGAGTTGGAAGGGGCCATGAAGGCCATCGAGTCCAACCCCCTGCTGTTGCGGGACAACAGGTTACACCATCCCGCTCAGGTGGCTGTCCAGAAATTGCCTGCTGCCACCGCCTTGCATGGGAGCATAAATGCACCCCTTTGGGTGGTCCCCATGCTGGAAGGGGCGCTGCTTGCCGTGCGCGGAGCAGTGCCTGCAACCCAACCCGCTTCTGCCGCACCGATGGATTTATCCGTTCCTTCCCCCCGCATTCGTCCACTCTCCCTTCTTCTCTCCCTGCTGATTTAAAAGCCAAGGGGCTGTTTGTTCTTTTTATTCAAGAGATGCCAGAAAAACAGAATCGCCCTGCAATCTGTTCTCAGCAGCAGTTCAGCGATGAATCCCACCAACATGGGAAGTGCTAGGCTGCACATTGCGCGGGCGCTGTTTGCTCGTGGGTGTGCATACGCAGTCACACACTTCAGAGATGGCGAGCATCCATCTGTGGCTTTGGATAACGGGCCTAAGGGGGTGCGAGCGAGCGGGCGGGCGGGCACGGGCTTGGGGCAGTTCTCCCTGACTAGAACTCCCATGGCTCCTCTGCCCCTTCTCATCTGTTTCCCCTAGCTTGCCACAGGGCCAGGAGTCTGTGACACCCGTGCATGCTCCTCGCCAGGGCCAGCACTGCCCGCATCCGAGCGGGGGGCAGGCAAGCAGAGGGGCTGTGATCTGGAGACCCCCACTACAGCTCGGACCCTGGCGAGTGCCCACCTGAGGGTGCCCCCTGGATGCAAAGAGCACCTAGCAACTCACAAGCTAGGAACATTCTGAGAAGGTATCTGCAAAAGGCAAACATAAATCAGCGATGGAACTGTATCGGGGTGGGGCGTGGAAAATAGCAACCATCTGTAGCTAATATAGAAAACCGGAGCATCTGAGAGTCGCTCTTTTACTAGAAAGGAGGGAGACGAGTCATACAAACATAGGAAGATGACTGGAATACCCCTGGGGTTAAGAGCATGAACTGTGAACCCCAATGTCCTGCTTAGAACGCAAGGTGTTTCATGATGGAAAGAAACGAGACATTTATTCACCTCTGCTCACTGTCTTTCTCCAGTCTTTCTCCACCATCCTTATCAACAACATGTGTGAAAATGACTTGGCTGGAGTGAAAGAGAGCAGGCTGCATTTCCAAAGCGTGCTTTATTCTTTCTCTTTCTTTATATTTTCTCTTTTGTTACGTCTAGGCAAGCCATTTATTGTGCAAGGCTTATATGGAGACAAACCAAACAGCTGAGCCAGGTCGAAGAGCTCCTCGGGGGAGGGGGGTGTCTTTTGCCTCTAATTCAAGGATGAAGAGATCTCGCATCACTCAGAACTCCTTGATCTGCCTGGCGCTCAGCATTTTATTAATGGCCAGAATATACGAGACCTAGGCAAGCCTGTTCCAATGCTTTGATGTTCGCGATGGCTAGGGAACTGCCAATTCAGTGGCCAGCAGCAAAGGACACGTCCGGTGTGAGCAAAAGCTACCTGGCTGGTTTCCCCCCACTCCACCATTCCTATTTCTCTGAAAGAGAGATCATGTCGTAGTATATCACTGGTTTAATCAACGTTATGTGAGAGCTGGCGGGAGACTTAGGGCGCAGTCCGCCAAAAATTGCTGGTGCCTGACCTTCATCCCAGACAGGTGGGACTTCTGCACAATCGACAACGGCGCTGGAACCCACCAAGAGGCCAACTGCCAAGCAGGGCTGACCAGTCAAGAACGCCCCCCCCCCCCACCTCAGGGTTTTCCCAGGCTTTGAGGGCGAGAGGATCGCAGAGGTGGAATGTGTGGTGGGTGGGCAGATCAAGCCTGGGTATCCTCCATTAAAACAGCTTTCTGCAACCAAGTGCCCTCCAGCTCTGGCGGGCTGCAACTCCCGTCGTTTCCCACCAACCCGATAGGAGTTGCAGTAGTCCAGCTCAGCTGGAAGGTGACTGGTTGAGGAAGGCTCTGCTAAAAGGCTCTGTTGGAAGGTCTCTCACAGCTGGGCTGGCAAAGCCACCTTTGCCTAAGAATTTGGGGACCCACAGCCAGCCTGGGCCAGAGAGACTGATGCTTCTGAGAAAGCACTGTCATAGACCCCTGCCAGCCTCACCTTTGAACTGGGCAGCAGTTCCTCATAAAGCCGCCTTAGCCAGAACCACCTTCCTCTTCTTTAGAGAGTTTACAAAATGGTGCCCCATATGGAGAAAGCAGAAAGCTATCCTCTGCCAAGGGACACTGGGGGCTTGGTGTCATCCAGAAGACTTTGATGACTTGGGACCATCCCAAGGGCGATGACTGACAATGCGTTCAAAAGCAAGACCAGGTGAAGGCCTCTTCAGACAGCCCATCGTGAGGGTCTTTGGCTGAGATGGCTTGAAAAGGGAACTGGCAGACCTCATGCCGCAACGGCTGCAGGTATCGCTGTTATGGAACCTCTGGGTGGCCTTAGATTGGGTGATACCTGCTCGGGAGCTACAGTGGAAGGGTGCTCTGTTCTTCAAGCCCCATCGTGTGCTCTTTCCTGACACACCAGGCTGGCTAGCAGGGTCCTAGACCATGTGGGCCTCTATTTTTGCCCACTGGGGCTCTTCCTAGGTTCTTCAGCAACCTGCTACCTGGGCTTCCTCCCACCAACTTTTAGCAAGCGTCCTCCTCACTGAGCGAGCAGCTCATAAGTTCTACAGAAGTTACACCTGATGCTGAAGAGTCCTATCCCCATATTTGGCTGGCATGTTTCCCTCCATCTGGTGAACTTGGACGTACCAATCATGAGTTTGGAAACCTGTATGTATATATTCTCAAAAGCAAAACCTGGCATTCATTTTCGACATCAAAAATAGGATACATGATTTCTGGTGTGTAGACAAATGCCCCAAAGGGCAATTTCCAAAATTAGCTCATTGAGCTATTCCTCCAAAAGTGTCCTGTTCACCCGGGTTGTTCATTTTTTATGCTATAAGCCCTTTTGTCTTCAATGCTAATGAAATTCCTGTATCTTCCTTTGTCAAGAATCTATGTGCTTCCTCAGACCACTACTCTACCCTAATTCTGCCACTGAGATCCGTGCCCACTTTTGCTGTACGTTTGGCTGGATTCCTCCAGAGAGAAAGGTTCTATTGCTATTTATCAAAACACAAACAGTTCTGTCTTCTCTTCCTTCACGGAATTTTGCTTTCCTGGTAAGAAAAAGGTGGAAGAAGCTGCGGGAAGACACAGCGGGGTTACCAATGGAAGATGGCAATATCTGGAACCTTCCTGGCCCCATAGAAGTCTGTGAATAAGGCAGGAAGTGGCCCCTAAGTACCTCATCTGGAAGTGACCCTTAGCAGCCCTTGCTGGGTAGAAATGTATTTCTTCTCTTCTAACTGGAGTAACTGCCTCGCCCTTGCTTAGCTGACCTCTCCGGGGTGATTTAGGGCAGGGACATTGGAACTCTTTAAGCCTGGGGGTCAAATTCACTTCTGGAGAATCCCTCAGGGCTCAGATTCCAGTGGTAGGAGGAGCTGAAGGCCAAAGACTACGGGGTCAACACTACTGAAACCGCCCCCTCCCCAAAATAAAGCCAGCATATTTTATTTAGCTCAAGAGTCTTCTCTCTGGTAATTGAGCCTTAAGGAGGGGTGTTTTGGCCTTCAGGATGGGGTAAAATAAGCCCTGGAAAAGCCTTGGGACCTCTAATGGGTCCAGAGGGCCGTGTGAGCAAGACTGGGTCCCTGGGCAGGGCAGTCTGGCCTGCAGCCCTGCAGTTCAGCGCTCGTAGCTTCAGGCCATAGCTCGGTGCATTTCTCCGTCTGGGGGCCAGATCCGCCTCAGCGGCAGCCTTTGCTGAGTTCCACTCTTCCTAGCCTGGCTTCTCCTATCCGGGCAGGCTTTTGCAGAAGCAGTTGCGTTGGAAATGGTGAATTGCAAGCACGCTCCTACATCTCTGCTTTGAGCATTGCAGTACATGGACTAGATCTTTAAAAACCACACTCCGCCGCAGGATGCGCGCTATCCCTTGTAAATGTACTTGATGGGAGAGCCGGTGGCGTCGGTTGTGAAGCTCTCGCTCTCGTTCAGGGTGTCGCTTTCGCCGGACATGTTGGCATCGTTCATTCTCCTTATCCGCGACTGCAGCCTCTCCTGCTCCTTCCTGAGCTCCGAGTAGGAATGGGAGAACGTGTGGAAAATGGAGGTGGCTGGGAAAGCCATGATGAGGATGCCGCTGAGAATGCTGCTCAGGGCCACCATCTGGCCTGGGACGCTCCTTGGGACCATGTCCCCGTACCCCACCGTCGTCATGGAGATAATGGCCCACCAATAGGAGGCGGGGATGCTGGTAAACTCCAGGACCTTCCCGGATTCGTTTTCCGCAAGGTAGACCAGCGGGGAAAACAAGGTGACGGCCACGCACAGGAAGAGCAAAAGCAGGCCAAATTCTCGGGCGCACCGCCGCACGGTGAGGCCCAGCGTCTGCAAGCCCAAGGAGTGCCGGGCAAGGCGCATGACGTACAGTATCCTCAAGGCACGTAAGACCCGTAGCACCAAGCTCACCTTCTCGAGGTACGAGTTGCTGCTCGGCCGGCCGCCCTCTTCGTTCTCCGCGGCCTCGTCGTCCAGCACAATCAGAGAAGCGTAATAGGGAGAGATGGCCAGGAAGTCGATCACGTTCAGTGGCCCTTTGAAAAACTGGCACTTGTTCTTTGCCTGGATGAATCGAAGACAGAACTCCAGTGAGAACCAAGCCACACAGATGGTCTCTATGATGAAGATGTAATAGCACTTTTGGGAACACTCGCCCTGGGGGCAGAAGAGAAAGGAAGGCAGTGTGAATGCACGGAACTGCAACTCCTGCTGCGGAGACAGAGGCAGGTAAAGAGGTCAGAGAGAGACTGCAGAGGCCGAAACGCCATTCTTCGCTGAGGGTCCTGCATTCGATCCAAAACTGCTCTCTCTAGCAAGAGGGGAGAATGCGGCAGCGGTTCACTGAGCCCTCTCCTATCGCTGACATTGTAACTCTCTGCACTGAAGGATTTTGATTGCGTAAGGCAAAGATGGCCATCGTCATCTTCATCACCTCATCTCCAAGAGCTCAGGTAAAGAACTCCTCTTTGGAGGTTGAGCTACCTGGACAAACAAGGTTGGCTTATGGAGTTGCCGGCAAGGCAGCTGGTTCGCATGCAGAAAATGCCTCCTTCATTATCCCAGCTGGTTCAAAACCAGCTGTCCTGAAGGGGGCCTCTGCCAGAGAGACCGGCAGCCGGGCACAATCAACATGGTGGGCTGGCTGAGCAATGCTCCCGTGGGCAGGGGTGAGCCGAAGGAAGATCTCCAGATGTTCGGTCCTTCAACTCCCAGAATGGCCAATAGCCAGGATGTTTGGGAGGTGGAGTTCCACACACGTTGGATACCTGCTTTCTGCTCACCTCTGGATTGTGTAGGGATGGAGAACCTGTCATTCTCTAGAGGTTGTTGGACTCGAGTGCCAGTTACTGCTGTCGGATGGCCTTGCTGGATGGAGCTGATGGGAGAGGGAGTCTAGAGAGCCAGTCCTCAACCCTGTAAGGACCATCAGGACCACTTGCACCTTCCGGCTTTCCTGCAGCAAGCCACCCTGCGTGTGGAGCCAGAAGCTTTCCTGAAGGGAAAGACTGAGGAGACATGTCCAGTTTGGATTCAGTTCTTTACAGAAGCAGGTTGACTTTGGCCATAAGGTTATTTAGCATCCAAACTGTTCTCTTATCTGTGGCAATTCAGTAATGGAGCTGCCCTTCGAAGGACTGTCTTACACTTTGGAATCAAAAGGAAGGCTGGAAGGGTCCCGCCCAGGACAGATTCACAGGAGGTGGCAAAAAAGACAAGCTCAGCACCACTTGGCTTCCTGCGACTGAATCCCACAGGATGCCGCCATCGTGCTCAGCTAGCCTCTTCAGCATCCTGCCTCCAACAGAGGACCACGCGCAAGTCATGAGGAGAATCACCTGGTGTTTAAACTGGGGATTCCTGTCGGGCATCTTGGCCTCTCCACGGAGAACGCCACTTCCCAGGAGCCTCTGGGGGACTGTCCCTTGGCTCAGCCTGGGTAATAAACATTTCTTTATCTTGTGATTCACCCTCCTACCAGCCACCTGCTTCCATTTAGATCTTCACATAACTCCTCCAGGGAAAATGCTTGCACAGAAAAAGAATGTAAAAATGTCTCCCTCCGCATCTGTTGCAGAGCAAAAATGCCCTGTTCTGAAAGTGGAGGAGAGAACAAGCAAAATAACTTGTGGCACTCGGTTTTGCTTCCCCCGCCCCTTGGAGTTCCTTCCTGCTGCCATGAAGGAACCTCCCCAGAGGGGAACCTCTCCTTCACCTCCCCAGCTGCCTCTTCCGAACCAGATTTAATCCCCATTGGGCCTCAGACGGAGAATGGGGTTGGTGGTTGGACACTGGGCAGAAAACCCAAAGGGAAAGGCGCCCGTGAAGTCAAAGGTTTATTGAGGAAAGAATGCTAATAGGAATTGGCTTTAGGGTTGGAATGGATAGATGCACACATGCACCCCACAAAAATTATATGCATCACAGGGTAGTAAAAATACACACGGATAAATATACCCCGTGTGTCTTTGTAATACATAATGATTTGATTTATTTATTCGGGAAATAATTATGTGTGCATGCATTATATTTATACCCAGCCTTTTTCTCCTCTGGCAAGGAACTCAAGGTAGCTTAGCCCCGCCTCCTTCTCTTCCTCCTCCTCCTCCTCTCTATTCTATCCTTACAACAACCCTGTGAGGTGAGTTGGGCTGAATGTCATAGTTGCTCAGATCTCCCAAGTCCCAGTCCAAAACTGTCGTCACTTAGGCCACATTTATTCATGCAAGAAATACCCCCCTCCCCCTCCCCCTCTCTAATCCCATTCTTCACTTTCGGCACCTTTGAGTCTTTCTCAGTTTCTTCTTTCCTCTTTTCTCCATCATTCCCAACTTCTGTTCCAGGCTTGGTCCTAAAAAATGCCATTTCCCTTCCTGGCACCAACCAGTCAAGAGGGTGGTTCCTTGTTCACCCTTCATCTCAATTCCTTTCCCCAAATTCCCTGACCTTCAGTTAAGTCTTCCGCCATCTCTTTGGCATCTCTTCTCTTCCTCTGTGGGCATTCTGTTTCCTATTTTCTAACTATACTTTTGCCCTTTGTGCTCTCAACACACAGACAGTTTAGTCCCCTAATTTTAAAAGCAAACTCCCTTTTTAAAAATGAGGGCAGATCCATCCTTTCACAGATTAGGTGTGCCACTGCCGACAGCCTCCCCTTTACTGCAGTACCTGCCCTTCCAAAGCAAAGATTACCAGCAAAATGGCAAAGATATGCAGTGCAAATCCGTTAAGATTCATGACATCTGCAACAAATCACATGAGCAAAAGCAACAGCTTCCAACAGCAGATCTACAAACTGGGCTGCTACTGTTCGGTTGACTAAAGTTAGACACCGTTGCAAGGTTCTGCTTGAAATTCAAGAACTGAGGCAACCGCAGTGCAGCAGAAATGAAGACTGAAAGAGAACTGTGCTGAATGAAAACTCAGACGCTTTTCAGGGGGTTCTATAAAGAGACCAACACTGCTGCTTCCTGAAAGACAGAGGTGTGAGTACAGAGTAACACTCATGCTCTGCATACACAAGGTCCCGGTTTCAGTCCTTTGCAGTTCCAGGTAGAGTTCGAAAGGACCCGAGTCGTACCCTGGCAGTGACTACTCTCAGTTAATACACAGAACATCCTTTTGAACATCTCTGCACCTTCCTAGTTTTCCATGGCAGAGGAACTGAGCTGGGCAACGCTTCCTAAATTCAGAAAATTTGCAAAACACTTCTAATTAAGATTGTTCAGAGAGAAGGCTGGGTAAGAAGGAGAAGAATTAAAGATAGCCTTCTTCTCCATCATTTATTGATAGGCTTCTCCTCCATCACGGAAAGGTAGCTCTCCACACCAGCACGGCCGCTTGATTCTAACAGATTCATGAGGAACACGGGGGCTAAAGCCCACTTTGTACAACATGGTGGGATGTCGGCTTTGGAAGGGTCCCTTTTCATTCATGCGCTTGCCCTGCCTCACTGTAATCCCTTCCACTCCAATTAACACCAAAGCAAAAGCACAGAGCGAACTTCATCTGATACTGGATTCCTCATAATCGTCTTATGCGGCAATCAGGACACACTGATCTGTCTCGACCATGAAGAAGTGAAGGTCATGCCATGGTCTGGTTTGGACTGGGATGTGCAGTAGGAACCTCTCAGAAAGGGTCCTTCTTCCATCCCAGCCACCCAAGACGGCCGCTAAGAGATTTCCATCAACATCAAGAGGTACTCTTTTAATTAGTAAAGTATTTGCCTTTCTATTTCTTTATACACTGGAGTTATTTTTCTTTTGAACTGTGATGGCCTTTATTCCTAAATGGTACAGCTTGCATGAGGGAAAGTTTTCGTGTCTGTACATCAAGCTGATACCTGGAAGTTAAAATTTGCTCACCGATTCACATGGATGAATTTTTGCATGGTCAGTTTTGTTTCGTTTCGTTTCATTTCTGCAATTGATACCTAAATCAGATGGATCAACTTAGCAGTAGACTAGAGTAAATTCTGGCTTTAGATAAGAAATTGCTGGAATTACATGCCTAAGAAGTCAACAGTTTTGAGGCAGAATGCATCTGTGCCCTCCCCACCTCACAAACAGGACTCATCAAAATCCGCCGAATGCTTTTCGGCCAAAGGGGTTGCTGACTCACCCTTTCAGCAGTGCTGTTCTTATCTGAATCATTAAGCCAGGCTCTTGTTAAATCAAGCCACTCAAGGCAAGAATTTGAGAGAAGAACAAAAAACGAAACTAATCCCAAGGAATCGCGTTGGCATTTGCGTCTAAGGCTGTAAAACTGCTGAAGTTTATGCAAGTGACCCTGCCTTGCGTCTCCTGCCGGAATAATGAATCCAGGTGCTCACGTTGAGAACACAGGCATTGCTTTATGGATCGTTGAGTAGGTTTTGTTTAGCAACGCCATTTAACAGCAAACGCTGCGCAGCTGCCTCCCCTGAAGAACACAGGGGCCTGATTTTAAGGGCTATGACCTGTCATGAGAACGTGATTTATGCTTAAGGGAAAAGGGTTCTTTGAACTCATTTTGGTTTCAGGGCAGAAAACAAAATTGGTAGCAGGATGGGCCATTGGGAAAGTCCCGATGCACAGATCTGTCAATGACATAGGAGCACTTGGTGTTTGAAGTGCCTTGCGTGTTCAGCGATGGCCAGAGAGATTTGGTCTCAAACCCCCATCCAGCCAGTTAACTTTCTGAGTCACCTTTGCCTAGTTACTAATTCTTTCTTCTGGTCCACCTCACAGGGCTGCTTTAAGGAGGAGGAGGAAGCTACATGGATGACCCTGAGCTCCTTGGAGGAAGGAGGAGACATCTATGGTCCTTTCAGGTAGCACCTGTCACTCCGTGGAAGAGCAGGTGTTTTGCAAGCAGGTTGAAGTCTGGGTTTCCATCCCACCTTCTCCAGGCAGGTCTAGAGACTTCCCTCCCAAGTGCATTGCCACCTTACAGAATGGGCCTGAAGCAGAGGGTGGGGGGGAGCCTCTGGCCCCCCCGTTTCCCAGTCTAGCCCTCAGCCTTTCCCCCAGCTGATGGGTTGGTTGCTTCCCAGCTGCTGCACAGTTTCCCTGCCTTCCAGCTGGTTGAAGTGCTCGAAGCTAAACTGAGCTTGTTATTCTTATTCGGCCCCAGAATGTTGCTTGATTCCCACCCCTCCTGCTTCAGCTCTGCCC